TCATAACTTTAAGAGTACTTACTGTTCAGCTCGCTTTCACTATCTGAGTCAAGCAACAGGGGTAGTTCCAGATCTAGCTGCTGCTGGGTCGATAAAGAATAATTTTCTATCTTGCAGCTGATTTTGGCGAGGCGGTAAAGTTTAAGGTCAAATTGCCCAAGACCGAACTTCCTGGCTTGCTCGTTAAGACCAAGAAAGTCAATAACGTTTTTCTTGAACGCTGAAAGTGTCCGATGCTCTTCTTGGACTTTGAGTCTTGCCTTGTATCTTTCGCTTGGCCTTTCCTCACCCGTTCGATAAAAACTAACAACAGCTTTCAATACCGACATCGTTCAACTCACATGCACACTGGGTGAAGAAATTGGAGATCTTAAAACAAAAAGCTGTCAACTTGTCCTACAAAACGCAGGCCAAGTGAGGTCAAGGGAGACTACCGGGGGTCCTTGAAACGAGCTTGGCCTATAAACGTATGAACCACATGTACGACATGTACGGAGTCAAAGTCAGCAAAATAAGAAATGAAACAGGTCATAAGTAAGTTTAGCACCTTCCTTAAAATTAAGAAATTTAGGGAACAATTTTTTTTACGGTTACCTCTTTTGACCCCATTTACGGCTAACGGTTAAAATTTTTCAATTTTTACGGCTATCGACTAAATTTTTGGCCATTTTACGCCTATCGGTTAACCCCATTAAGAACCTCTAATAAGTATCCATGCAAGAAATACAGTGCTTATAAGGTTTGTGTTTTTAATTGTTTATTGAGGTTACTATGTTCAAAGTGACGATCTCTACGATTTCATATCTGTAATGACAGAGCCTCTAGTTTGCGTAACTGAGGAATAAGTTTCATCCAATTTTCTAGAAACAATCGCCTCAATTGTGCCGCGAGAGTGGAAAATGCTGCAGTCCTTCCAAGTCCATCCCTATCTTTGATCCTCGAACACCTTCGAAGTATGTTTGCCCAGGGGCCCAGCTCCCAGTTCCGTGTCCTCAAGGCAACTTTTGCCCAAACGTCACCGTTCAAAAGACGTGTCCAGGTGGATATTTTTGTCGGAATGGAAGCGTGGAACCACAAAACTGTCCGGTAAGAGTATCTCCTCTCGCTGAACATCATGCGCATCGTCTGATTAGTCAATAGTATCCAAGCAGATACTTTGTTAGGTTATAAAGCCCGCATGTAATTAATTATGTCATAAGAGCAATAAAATGCATTTTTCTGGGCTCTGTAACGTAATAAATCCACTTGGTATGTAGGGAGAACACTTGGAAAGGTGCTAAATAAGACGCCTTCGGATCGTGCCTTATAGGCATTCCTCGTGTTCTCCTAACATCTTAAGTGGCTGTTTTAGAGCCCGGAAAAATGTTCTCAATTCCTTGAATAGTGCGCATCCAAAGGTAACTCTAAAGTGGAAACAGCCGTTATAGACAGCTGCGAGATGAACGGGAGTTTTTGAAGGTACTTGTCCATGTGAAATCCAAGTTCAAGACTATGAAATCCTATATATTCATGGAAATACTTTAAGCTCGAAATAAGCTCGGCTAATTGTTACTCCGCTGGTGCATTATATGGCCTATGTTTCATTTTCGAGGAAGAAATTGTTGCAACTGGACTTAATAAGGATCAAAATTCGTGCTTGCCACGGCCTTTCGGGTAGACCGTTCCAAAGCAACAAACCTCTCAGAGTGAAGTTGTTTTTGACAAGGTTGATTTAGGGCAGTGAATTTGCTACTTTGCTGTCCACGTCGAAGCTGCAATGCATATCCTAAGCTTTTAGTTTTATTCAGCTGTGTTAAGCATAATTCACGTGAGGTAATACTTGATCAATTCGTCTTCCATCGTACGTTGTTAATATATAGCCTTCTGACTAAGGTCAACACTAGTTCCTTATGTAATGAGCGTATCCAGAATTTCCTTATTTTATTGTACAAGAGACTGTTTTTCACTCATTTTCCAGCTTATATGAGGGGTATATTTTCACTTCGGTCATCTTCTTATAATCTTCGCGGTAATTACATACTGTCACTTAGAAAACCTAGAACAACTAGTTATGGCCTTAATTCATTTTCATACTTCTCAGCTGAGCTATGGAATACACTGCCTGACTATATCCGCATGAGTGCATTTAAAGACTTTAGAAAGATAATCCAAGGCCGTATCTTTGTATAGTCGCTCCCGCTTATCTTTACTTTTCTGTTGATTTCTACTGATATGTTACATAATTATATTTCTAAATACTGTGCATTTTAGTATATTTTAGTATAGTTAGTATTTTAGATCTTGTACAGATATATGTAAGAATATATATATATACAATCTCCATTTTATGTTTTCTCGAAGATATTAGCTCCAACAAGCTACTCTAAAATTCGAGAGGAAATAAAGTTTATGATTATGATATGATGATGGGCGTGGCAGACACGTATAGGATGCCATCCCTGTTGTGGCACAACATCCCTTGTTAAGCACTGTGTTATTTTGGTTTATTTTTTAGATTCTCTCCATATGCAAGAAAGGGTCTTCAGCTCCTGTTAGCGCTCCTGGTGGTGTTTTACTGATTTTTGGAATATTACTGGTCATGCTGTTGCTTTTGTACTGTTTCCACCACGAAGGAAAACTTATAGAACTGTTTGAACGTAATGTGACAAAGAAACCCTTTGTCAGAATGGAAGAGAGGACCAGGAGGAGCACTTTGGATAAATACCGAGAGAAGTCAGAGCCCAAGACACAGACCATCACCATTCGCTTTCAAAACCTTAGCCTCTCACTTAAAAAGGTAGCTAGCTGGTTATGCAATGGGTGGACGGAGGGAAGGATGTCTTTTGGAATGTTCGCCGAAGAGTGTTTTTCTTACTTCTAAATCTGAAGACACTAAGTAGTGGCGCACTATCAGCAACGAAAATGATCTTGTTGTTGTAGTGTTTAGACATTTCGTTACTGTTATATAGACTTATCGGTGCGCAAAGAATCATGGTACTGTAACATGGCGTCCTCGCTGGTGTAGATTAAAGAAACCTGTTGAGTTTATCTGCACTTATCTGCTTATCTGGGTGTTAACAGGCCATCATTACAGTTATTGCTACTACTCCTACTGCCACTACCTAGTGCTATTATTATGATTACTATAATATTGATAGAAACTTTGATAACAATAATGATAATTATGATAACTAATGATACTATCANGCTCTGTTCTTGGTCACGTGACTAAAAGATGTTAGCACAAAAGGCAAACGTACGTGATAACATTCTTTTACATTTCTTT